AAGTTGTGTAATGGAATTATGAAAACATGAAAGATGAGGAAGTAAGGAGGAGAGGAGACGAAATTTTGACATCATTTTCAATCGAGAGTAACGTTTAGAACATGTCAAACATATAGAAAATTTTGATGAAATTAAGGCCATTTTCAACTCCAACCATGATTTTGGGCAGAATCAATGATGGTTTTTGATTTACACATACTACAAATGATAAGTGAACAAAGATAACTAACATAGATCATTACTTCAAGAATCTTTCAGGTTTGAACTTGATCATTGCATTGCAAGTTTTGTTGAGGACTTATCATTGCTTGTGATTTAGATTGAGCAACTATGGAATTGCGAGCATATAATACAAACTTTCTTCTTGTGAGCAATTTTGAAGGTAACAAAAAAAAATGTGAACTAAAGTAATAAGAGAATTGAATTTGAAAAAAAAAAGATTTTTTTTTTTTATGCTTGAAGAAACAAAATTTGGATCTAAGTTTTTTTTTGTATGAATTAATGAACATGCAAGGATGATGAAAATTTTGTAGTACAATGTAAATTTGGTCTACATATTTTGATGAAGTTCAATTTAGTCCTTTTTGGTGAAAAGAGCAAATGTCATGAAGTTTGAAAAAAAAATGATTCTTCTTTTTTTTTTTTTTTTAACAAAATGTGAAATGCTTTGGATTTAATTAGGTAAGGCCAAAAAGTTTGAAACATGCAAGTGTGAATTTCGTGTAGAAAGTGTAAGAGGGTGAGACTTTCTTTGAAAGAGAGTTTGGACAATTTTTTTTCAAGAAAATGATGACTTGAAGGACTTAATTGAAAAACAAGAAAATATGAGGACCAAATTCAACTTTATTCAAAAGAGAAAATGAGCATGAGATGAATGTCAATTTGATGTGAGATGGAAGATGTGATGTAAGGTTGAATATGGACTGCTATGCAAAATGGGATGGGAAATGTAATGTGAACTAAACATAGATGAGATTTTCATTTTTTATGCAATTTTTTTTTTATGAAACATGGGAAATATGAGAAATCTAAGATGGAGATAGTAATGCTTGAAAATGAATATGAGATGAAAAATGAAAATGAATGAAATTTTGTTTCCATGTAATTTTTCAAAAAGTTTTTTTTTTTTCGAAGTATGAGATGGAAGTAGTAATGCTTGAAATGAAAACTTGAGATAGGAAATGCAGTATGAAATGCATGTGAATGAGATTTTTTTGTTTTTTTGTGGAATTTTTTTATATGAGATGGAAGGTGTAATGTAATGAACATAGATGGAATTTCATTTTTTTTCTTTTTTTTCTTTTTCTTTTTTTGAAATTTTGTGAAATATGAGATGAAAAATGAAATGGAGAATGTCACGTGAAATGAACATGAAAACATATTTTGTGATGCATGGGATGGCAAATGCAATGTAATGAACGTACGACATGTGAAAGGTTGATGACATGTAAAACAATTATGCAATTTTTTTTTTTTTTAATGATGTATGGAATAGAAAGTGAAAATGCCAAAGTGCATGGTGTCATGTAGTATTGAGTAGAAAGTGAAAGGCAAAGTGCGTGAATGAACGTGATGGATGTCATGATACTTGACATGGTTGACTCAATGAATACCTGCAAGTGTAGAAAGTAAGGTAAGATGTAAAATGCCCCCTTGTGTACCTAGACATAGGGAATCCTAACCTCACTGGTGGCTTTCTAGGCTGACAAGTCCTATGGGTGGTTTCTCTTTAAGTTCACTGCATGCTTTCCTAAAGGGCATTAGGCTTTTTCAACCATTTATCCTTTCAGAATCCATGGGAGATATTTCCAAATGCTAATACATAGGATGATATTACATCATCAGGTGTTGTATTAACCAATGGAAACAACCTAACGAGAATCGATCTTACTCCTCAAAGCGGGAATAATTGCTCTTCCAAGCCAGATTCATAAGGATTCCAGACTAGAGGTCGGGTTCACCTCAGACACGGACCTAATGCAAAATGAGAGTGAGTGTGTGCAAGGGGCATGACACTAAAAGCAACCACAAAAATAGCAACATATA